TATACGAGGATAATAAAATGGGAAATTTACGGAAGTAGACATAAAATCAAAAATAATATCACTTTTTGTACTTTTAAGAATTTCTTTCAAAAATGGACAAAGCCAAGTTTTTTTCAATAATAGCCTTAGGCCTTGCTGCCTTGCCCCTTTAGCCGTTAGTCCAGAAGCCATATAACATCACTTTGATTTAATAACTAAAAAAATGAAAGTTTTCAAACGTAAAATTTTTACGTAGTACTCCGTATAAAATACGGAGAATTCGGAATCATAGGGAAACACAAAATTGTAAATTTCAAAAGCTGAAATTAATTGTACAATAAAAACAAAACATAAGTATAAAACTATGAAAGCTCAAAATAGGGAGTATTTTTTTATTTGTTATTATATTAAAATAAATATATGAAATTATTCAAAAGTCCAAATTAAAATTTGTAAAGTAAAATAAAAATAATAATTACTAAAATTTTAAAAAAATCATAAATTAATCTAAGTTATAAACAATGTAAATCTCTAAACCTCAACAAATATGATGTAAATTGTGAAATAATATTAAAATATCAAACACGCAGAAAAATTTAAAATTTGAAAAATTATAAATATGAATAAAATAAAATAAAACTATTAAAATTAATAAAAAATAATAAATCCAAAAAATTAGGGAGAAAGGTACAAAACTGAATATCAACTGTGAGAATTTTAAAATAGTAAAAAATAAAAAAGCTGAAAAAAATTACAAATTATGATTTTTATTAATTTTTATGGAGCTAAAAAATTTAATTTTCCATGTCATTTTAGTATTATTTTTTGTTGCATGTTGTTGATATATGTTTCTTTTTGTTTATTTTTGTTTCAAATTTTGCACATTTTGTTTTTTGTTTTTTATTCATGTTTCTTGTGGCAATTTATATGCAAATTTTATATGTTTTCACACACATATACACATACATATACATTATATAGGTACATTATAGACATCCACTATCAAAAAAGGATTGAAAAAAAACTGAGCTAAGATCATGAAAAGCAAAACAGAATAACTTGAAATTTCCAAGTAATTGCTACAGTCTAAATAAATTAAATCATAGCAGGCTTGCAGCCGGACTACAACATATTCATTAATTAGCAAATGTCATTTACAATTAAGTCGAGATCACTTCATGAGCTAATCAGTTCATGATGCGAGTAATGTATGAACATAAACTTCATAGTGACTTGTCTTCAATTCATTTCATCAGATGTAATAACCAAGGACACAAATTTGCATATTTTAAAAATGTAAAATATGAAAAGTAACATGATATACAACAAAAAGCAACAACATAAAACAAAAAGAAACAAGATAAAACAGCAACACAATGTAACAAAATGAAACAAATGAAACATAATTCAACAAAATTAAACACGATACAACAAAATGAAACACGATACAAAACATATATTCCTAGATCCCGAATCCCATTGCAGAGGTTATAAGAGACTGGATGTCAATTTCAGCCTCCCCCATCATATCATCCGCAGAGAAAGTGTCATGATCGTACACTACCTGGAACAATAAGGAGACAAGTTAGATGTGAGAGTAGTGCTAGACTGCTTGAGGGACACTGGCATAAGATTTATGGGTAAAGATGCTAAATTGTGTACATGGAGGACTTTTTACACATGAGGTGAATGATACGTTTGTAATTTCCATGTGTATGTTTATGTTTTTAGCTAGTTTTGGTTGTTTAATATCTCGGAAGTTACACACTGTTGGTGTAACAGTCATGATTGTAAAATAGTTGTAATATATTTAGATTAGGTCTATTTTGAGCTAAAACAGGTGCAAGATCAATCAAATGATATTTGAGGACCCCAAAAGAAGAAGGAAGTTGCAAGAGTACAAGACAAAAGAAGAATAATCCTGATTTTGACCTGTACCCGATTGAGTATACCCTTTACTCGATCGGGCACCAACTTGATTTTCGATCAAATCACTCTAGGAAACAAAGGGACGTGCAGGGGAAGATTTGGCCACGATCAGTTGTTACACCCGATCGGGTACACCGACACACCTGATCGGGTATTCCTTCAATTTTAACCCTGAGTTCGATCGAGTATACCTCAAATATGAAGTTTTACACATACTCGGTCGGGTATCGTGTATATACCCGATCGGGTACCCGAGCTGCATTCTCAAAATCCTATAAATACACCTCCTTCCCTTCACAATTGGAGACCAATTCACATATACTTCTAAGCTCAGTTTAGATAAATTCTTTCTTTATATTTTCATCATGTTTAGTCTCCAAATGAGGAGCTAAACTCTTCCATCTTGGTTTTGCTACTTTGAAGATTAATGAATTGTAAGTTGTGAGTTATTTTTCATTAATCTTCTTCCTTGAATATAAATTTAATCTAACTCTATATAAATGTTGGGGAATGTTGCTAAGATGACAATTAGTTAACATCTCGACATTAATTATAGTAACATTTACTTTCTTTAATCTTCTTCCTTGAATATTAATTAATTCCTATTCATATTTCATATTAATATTTTGAACATTACTTAAAGGATCAACTAGTTCTGTTTCATATATTAATTATTACTAGAATCAATCGGTTAATACGCTTGTTATTAATCCGGTTCTTTCAACGGTAGTAAACTTAGTTAGCCTGCAATCTGTAGCACCAGTTTCTCATCCGTGATTGAATTGGCGTCGATGCTTCATAGAGGCCGGAGATCCGGAGAGCTAGAGAAAAGAGAGAAGAGCGGATGTCGTCAATGCTTTACAGAACCCGGAGATCAGGAGAGCCAGAGAAAAGAGAGGAGAGTGGATGTCGTCGATGCTTCAAAGAGGCTGGAGCCGGAGATTAAGGAATCACTGATATAGTGAGGCGTGAGTTCTAATGTAGATGGAGGAGGTTAGAATAGTCTAAAATTGAAATAAATAAAGATAATTGAAAAAAAAAAGTTAAAAATGAAAAGTAAAAATAATTGGGACATAAATGATATTAGTCTCACAAAAGTGAACAATACGGGTAATTTGCACTAATAAAATTTGCTTGAGATCCAGCCAATTAAGATTTTCAAGATTATAGTTAAGAGTTAATTCCATAAAAATAAATTATTGACATTTGTCAAACAAATGTGCACGGTATCAATTGGCATATAAGATTGGAATTAACTCTTAACTATGATCTTGAAAATCTGTTGTCAGTAATAAAAAAAAAATTGACATTTCTCAAACAAATGTGCACGGTATCAAGTGGCATATCAAATACCGTAAATTATACCGTGGGATCGGCCACCTTCCACATAGTGTACCGATCTTAGTTTTGCAAAATTATGTTGCTTTCTTTCCTTCCCCAGTGCTTCTTCCTTCTTTTTTCTTTTGCTATATATTCTTTCTTTATTTTTCTTTTCTTCAACTCTTCTCCATTTCGATCAAATTCAAATATTAAAAATTTAATTACAGATTTACTTTTTCTTATCTTCAATTTAAATTATAATTGAATCTATGTTTTATTCTTTATCAATACATAACAAAAAGTTTAATAATCTAAATAAAATAAATACATTTCATTTCATATTCATACACTATTTTTTGTAATATCTTTTTTATATTCATACATTTTTTTGTAGTATATTTTTATATGCATACAGTTTTTCTTTAATATATTTTGTTATCACTTTTGTATGTTTTTAGAGGTTTTTAAGAGATTGAGTTTGGTTACTTTGATTCTAGCTTGAAGTTACATTTGATAATATACGAAGTTATATCATCTTATGCTCGACTTACATGTTATTGTGCATGAGTTACATCTTTTTATGCGCGAGTTACATGTAATTATGCATGAGTTACATCTAATTATTTGTGATATTTTAGTTATCTTTATCTCTAACTAATTAAATTACAACTGAATTAATTTTTTCTTTACCGATTTAATAAAAAAATTTATTAAACAACATAAATAAGTATATTGTACATAGTATTTCATAATCACAAAATAAAACCCTTTCATTGAATAAAAACACCTTTTTAAATCGATTTTCTTTTGCAAAAAATGACTTTTTGGGAAAAAATGATTTCTTTAAAACATTTTTTAGTCTGAATATTAAAAACAAAACATATTCACTATTTCGGTAAAATAAATAAGAAATTAGACACCTTTTTTATTGTTTACATTGAAATCATTGCTTTTGACAAGTTACCTTTCGATTTGCCTGCAGTAATATTTCTTATTAACGTGAGTTACATTTCTTTACACACGAGTTACATCACTCATGCTATTGGGACAAAACGAAAAAAACAATTACTGTACACGTGTGTACTGTTCACGCATGTAATGTTCATGCGATTTTTTAAGATTGATTAAAACTATGTTGTTTTTGAGCCTTGAGCATGGTGCTCACCGTGGGATGATCCCACGATATAAGAACGGATCAAATACCATGCACGTAGAGTCTAAAAAGTGATATGTTGTCACGCCATTTGATATAAGTAGTATGTATATATTTCTTCATTCTTTTTTAATTGCGGGTGTTCACTTTGCATGTGTGTCAATACATATCATTGACTATGAGTATATCTTATTCTCTATAAGTAAAAAAATAAAAAAAATTCTTTGAAAGTATGTAATGAAACGAATTGAATAATATTTTTTAAAATAATTCTCATAAATTAATATAAATAAAATGTAGTCAATGTATAACGTGTGAATAATGTAAAATTCAAAACATGTTGCAACAAAAAGACTGAGGATATCCTATATGTTTACACAAGATAAATAACAATTTGATAGATGTATATATTAAAATCACACATGTTCATACTTCAAATTAAGATTGGTTAAATTCAATAAGGAAAACGGTGTATCTTTATATTTTTATATATTGAACCAAACCATTTAGATGAACGTCGATAATTATGATCTATTTAAATAATAAATCCATCCTTAATTGTTGATCTAACTGTCCGCCAAAGTAGCAACCATTTCCTCCTTTTTTGCAGCATGTGATTCGCCTATATCCCCAAGTATGCTTATCCACTTCGTGTTGTTATTAATTCATTTGGGCTACAATTATTTGAGGCCATAAGTAACATATATCCAAAATACATACTGACGGGACGGGCTGGCCTGCTAGTAAGTCCGGGCCCAACAACATACACGATCCATTAATCATCAACGGTGGATCGAGTTACTCGAATTTGTTCTCAATGTCTCGTGTTTTCAAACCCTAAACTAAATTTCCGTGTTTTCGGACGAGAGTTTCAAAACTTCTGTGTTTTTAGAATTTCCTCCTCAATGTCATCCTCGGGGCCCCAAGTCCACAAGTTGTATATCTCATCAAGTGTGTTAGCATCACAATAGAAGTTAAGGGGTGTGGGTGTTTTGGGCAGCGAAAATGGACTACCACCCCTAATTATGGGTTGATTTGCATGGGTTAAAGAGTGGTTGGGATATGAAATCGGCATTCCAATTTGAATCAATGAGCCCGACCCATACTCATAAACAGTTGTACCTCCATCAATTGCCCTATCATTTGGTGGCATTGTTTGGCCATAACTCCGATGTTCATTGGTAGCCTGCTCTGAATTCGTTACCGTGACATCATTGTTATTCAGTGCTATGCTTTGTCCATGTTGTGTGTTGAGTTCAAGGTCTTCATTTTTTCTTGCATCTTCCCTTGTAGAATTATCAGCATTCTTGTAAATCTTACAGAGAACACACTTGTCCAACTGAAACAAAAAATGAGTAGAGGTTACATTACTTTTTCTTAGTTCAAAAAAATTTATGCCCATGAGGTTTTTACTAAAAAAAAAAAATAGTATGTATAGCAAAATTGTAGATAGTCACAGTACGTCACTAAAAATTATACATGCAGTCACTTTATCAAAGCTTGTGCATACTTATCATCATCTTTATTTAAGTACTATAGATATAGTTTTGGTTTGATTAAATCATTTATTAATATATAGAAGTGTAATTATTGGTATTTTGGAAAGTACATCAAGATAAATTTAAAACATTGCCAGTTTGCCACTATAAGAGTTTTGATTATATCTTACTCCGTAATAAAAAGTAGTTAAAGGATTGTTTTGATCACTTGAGCCTATATTAGTCACATATCATACTTCACCAGGCTTAACTAGAATAGACTTGACCAGATTTTAACAAACTAGATCAAACTAAAAATGTTTTATTTGCCTAAATTTTAGTGTGAGGCCATATTAGACCAGACTTAAATAGATCATACTTGATCAAATAAAACTAGACTAAATTAAACTTAGAAACCAATAAAATGCACATAAAACAAATATCTACCGTGATATATTAAGATCACTAGTTCAAATCGGACTTAAACAAAGCAGATCAGACTAAATTGGATCAGACCATATGATTTTGGTGTAGATAAAAACATTCTAACACTTAGTATATATGCAGCTATATATACGTAGTATTGATTAAGTAATTACCCTCATGTTGTCGCCATCGTTTCCCTTGATTGTGGTTCCACCAGGTTGGGCGTCATTGACTCTGAATTCCTGCATGATCCACTTCGTCTTCAAGCCTTTTGGTGGTTTTCCTTCATAGAACACTAAAGTTTTTTTGAACCCTATGATGTTTGATCCATACTTGATTTCTCTATCAGACCCAGTTGCCTTCCAGTAGCCATTCACAACCCCGGGTTCAGCACTCCCTACGGCTCGATTTGGTCGATTACCATTGGGGTACTTTCTAGATCTTGACGTGAAAAAGTACCACTCTTTTTTCCCAATCATTTTATACTTTGCTGGAGGTTCATTAGTAACAATTAACAAATTAAAAATGATTCAGAAATGATGGCATCAAATTATACAAATATACAATGTAATTTTATGCAAATACTACGTAGTAGTTTACATGTAGTAACAGTTAACAACATGCATTGTAACGCAACTGTAAATATAAAAGAAACACGTTTTTTTTTAAATTAAGTACTTTTGATACAACAATGTTTTGAATAAATATCTGTATGTGTATGGCTGAAAAAAGCAAATTTATTCATTACTATCTCCTTATCGCAAAGATTGATAAAATCTAAGGTTATACATTTCCTTATACCCACCATGGCCATTTTTATTTTATTTCCAAACAGTTTATACGGAGTAAATATTTTTACTTTGAATTCAACCATTGCCGTTTTTTTTACGTAGTTTTTGTGTACGTTACTACGTTCTTACGAGGCATTTAGCTACTTGTCACATACATAAGAATGTACATAAACAAATAAATATACCACAGGAGATATTGTTTTATTTTACAAATTTTTATACTATAGTCATGCTTTAGTTTTGAACTTATTTATCTCTTTAAAATATGGCTATTGTGACAATACCATTTTTAACATGATTTTCTTAATAAAAAAATGTACCATTGTATGACACTCAATCAGGCAATAATAATGCAATTTACTTCTATTGGCAGTAAAATTGACATTTAAATGCCACATCTAGATCTGATCTGCTAGTTAAACGCTGACAAACGGTATGAATGGCGATTACTTAATAAAACAAAAGATATTAAATTCACTTCGAAGTCTATTTAAATCACTTTCTTATTAGGTTTAAAAATTGATCCACTTCGAAACTGAAATTATTACTTATTGAGTCACTATGCAACGATACATATAACTTATTTTTGTATTGAGACATTATTTTGAACAAAAACTACTTAACCTAGATACTCCTTTGATCGATTGATAATACCAAGATTGATCAAATTTTAAAGAAAATCGTAACTACGTATATATAGATTTAAATAAATATATTCAACTAAACTATTTAGATGAACGTCGAAAATAATTTTAATTAGAGTACAACATGCATTAGGGTTTACAAAAAAACATGAGTACGTAGTTCTAGGGTTTGTTTAGCAGATAAAGTTTATAATCATGGAAAATATACTTCGTATAAAACCAACCTGAAAGGTCGTCCGGGTTGTGCTTGTACAAGTTCTCTTCCGGAATTTCGTGAGGCAATTTCTGGTTCATGACCTTCTTCTTGAGATAGTAACGAATCAGCTCATCATCCGTAGGACAAAACCGATAACCGACAGGGAAATTGAAATTTGAAACGTAATTAGTGGGAGGAATATTGTTATCGTTGCTGGGAACGGTTGCCGGAATATCAGCCGCCGGACTAGGCGGAGACTGCTTCACAGGGTAGGGAAGCTCCATAGGCGGATGAGCAGGAAGAAGGAGGTTTGTTAGGATAAGATAATTGTTGAGAAAAATTGTGTAGACGGCTATAATTAATACCCTAGACTTCACAAGGTACGGCCGACTTTTTTTTATTAATATTAAATGGACTAACTTACCCTCCTAATTATACATCTTTAATTTGTTTGTATGTATACGTTTTTTCCAACAAATCAAAGGAAAATTATTTGAGAAAAAAGATACAATTTTATCAAATCATTTGAAGATAAAGAGTCTAAAATGTACACATTCACCAATACTTTTAAAATAAGTTATGCTTTGTTTAGCCGCATGAATCTTATCAGAATGAAGAATTAATTTTAAAATTACGCTCTTTGTCTGATATTTAAAAGCATTTGATACTTTACGAATCGAATACTAATTATCTAATAAAGATAAATTAAACAATACAAAACAATGACATTTATGTAAAATGTCTTACACAAATGTGAGTTATTCAATTTTTTATTTGTTCATGTAATGGTAAATTATTTTAGACGTTCCTCCTTTTAAATTTCCTATTAGGTATTATATTATGTAAGGCTATATAATAAAATTGAAAACTAAAAGTTAAGGGGGGTGAACACATATACATCTAAATAAAGCATGAACATTTTACGAAAATATTACATACTACTTCCATCCCGAAACAGTTCACTATATTAACTTTTCTTGGTCAATGATAACAAACTTTGGATAATGATTTTAATGATTGTATTTGTATATAATCTATAAATTTTATACTTTAATGAAAATATTTCGAATAAGGAACATTTTGACATAATTTTCATATTTAAAATAATTTCGTATTAAAAAATATCATTGATGAAAGTTGATTGTGATTGACTAAAAAAACAATTTGGTAAACATTTTCGGGAAGGAAGGAGTATTTAAAGGAAAATTTTGAAAGTTCAATGGGGGCGGTCACCCACTCACCCCTGTGCCCCGCTTAAATTCGTTCATGAGTACCAAGCACCTGTTGCACATCTTTAAAGACGGTCCTGCTATTTGACATTTGACCATATTTTAGTCCTATACTCGTTGCTATATAAGGCAAATTATTTAACCTAAACACGTGAAAATGGTGATAGAGTGCATGCAGGTATGGTGTTGCTGCGCTGTCTACAGCTCAAACACAGTCAGCACCAAAACTTGATCATATCCGGCCAGAAGCATATATGAAATAGCGTCTATAAAACGTTCCAATTGCCACTTCCCATCAGTCTGTAATTCCTGTACTAGAAGCTTTTTCGCCTACAAAGGCAAACCCCTTCTCTTGCTTTCTTCTAGTCTTTTCTAACCTTCTTTCACTCGAAATAGAGCCTTTTGAATCCCATTTTGCATAGCCTAATGGGAAGTGCCTTGTTTTTGAATCCCATTTTTAACTCGGTACACTTTTGGTCCCTTATTTTACTACTCATATACTCTTTAACACCCCAACATGGTGATGGAGTATATGGCACAGGGACCCCCGGCCCACATACTTCCACTACTGCAATCAGGTCCAACAGGCCCAAGCGGGCCAAGCCCAGCAAGACAAAGCTCTAAGCAGCCCACAACACGCACATGGGGGTGCCTTCGGTAACATGGCCGAAGGCTACCGTCTACAGATTTGAGCTCGGAAACATCACAGGAAAATAAGGCTTGAGAACCAAGCCTTCGGCAATTGGAGCCCTCGGCACTATGAGGCCCCCGGTACGAAGAGCCTTCGGACTGTCACCTGAAGCCGAAGACATCTTCCTCAACAGAATCTCCTCTCCACATGCGCTGAATTGCCGCACCAAGTACAAACGTCACATCCAACCAACGCATTTAATGCGGCCACATGCGAGTGTCAGTGTCACCCCGGTTGAGGTGACCCCTCGACCACCAGAATACTGGCATGTATCCCTCTCTAGCATTTATTGCTGCTATAAATAGCAGCCCATTTTCTCATTGTAAGGGACAACAAGTTCACATATTCGAATACATTCTCTCTCTTACTTGTTTGTTCTGACTTCTCTCTAGTTATTACCCACAGTAATCCCTCGGATAAGCTACCCCCGGGTACACTATCCATCACATGATTTCCTCTTAAGTGAATTATTTGTAAAAATAGTTGTTAACATTGTTCCCTTGAGTGTAGAGTTATGATGGATTTGTTCACTAGTTATACTCTAGAGATTAAACTGCAACTAATGATGAAGGCATTGATAAGTCCACGTACTTTATGCAAACCCTTCATGGTCGTAGGCTTGTTGTGGCGGTTGTCACTCGTAAAGACGATGGGGACAACTATGATTGCGACACGAGTACGCCTTGGAAAAAGTTTCTAAAAGCTTCTAGTTATAACAACATAATCCCCCTCCACTTCAAAAACAAAATAAATCGAGTTGGTGCTTAAACTAAGCAGGTTTGTGCGTCAATATCTACCCATGACTCACAATGCAGGTTTGTTACTTAATCATATATGCCCTTCCAATGGTTAAAAAATTATGTAGACGGCTATAATTAATACCCTAGACTTCACAAGGTACGGCCGACTTTTTTTATTAAAATTAAATGGACTAACTTACCCTCCTAATTATACATCTGTAATTTGTTTGTATGTATACGTTTTTTCCTAACAAATCAAAGGAAAATTATTTGAGAAAAAAGATACAATTTTATCTAATCATTTGAAGATAAAGAGTCTAAAATGTACACATTCACCAATACTTTTAAAATAAGTTATGCCTTGTTTAGCCGCATGAATCTTATCTGAAGAATTAATTTTAAAATTACGCTCTTTGTCTGCCAATATTGCTTGTATCTCACGGGGAGTCATTTGGATGTTATAGTACGTAGTATGTATAAAATATTTATTTTTAGAATATTATTATATATGTTGCTAATTCATATACATATTGCATATTATATTATACTCTGTATTAATGCTAAAATAAGTTGAAGTTTATTATCTTTGCAATAAATTCTTTTTAGAAAGTAAGAAATAAATGAATGTGTAATTTAATACTACCTCCGTCCCGAAAAGGTTTGCCATATTGACTTTTCTTGGTCAATGATGGCAAACTTTGGACGCTAATTTTAATTATTATATTTTTTTATAATTTATAAATTTTATACTTTTATGAAAATATTTTGAATGATGAACATTTTGATATAATTTTCATATTCTAAATAATTTCGTATTAAGAAATATCATTAGTCAAAGTTGATTGTCATTGACCAAGAAAAGTTAATTTGGTGAACCTTTTCGGGATGGAGGGAGTATCAAACAAATGTTTATATTTTGAATTCACTTCACATCATCTAAAACTTCTTTAACTAATGTGTCTGATATTTAAAAACATTTGATACTTTACAAATCGAATACTAATTATCTAATAAAGATAAATTAAACAATACAAAACTATGACATTTATGTAAAATGTCTTACACAAATGAGTTATTCAATTTTTTATTTGTTCATGTAATGGTAAATTATTTTAGACGTTCCTCCTTTTAAATTTCCTATTAGGTATTATATTATGTAAGGCTATATAATAAAATTGAAAACTAAAAGTTAAAGGCGGTGAACACATATACATCTAAATAAAGCATGAACATTTTACGAAAATATTACATACTACTTTCGTCCCGAAACAGTTCACTATATTGACTTTTCTTGGTCAATGATAACAAACTTTGGATAATGATTTTAAAGATTGTATTTGTATATAATCTATATATTTTATACTTTTATGAAAATATTTCGAATAAGGAACATTTTGACATAATTTTCATATTTAAAATAATTTCGTATTAAAAAATATCATTGATGAAAGTTGATTGTGATTGACTAAGAAAAATCAATTTGGCAAATATTTTCGGGAAGGAGGGAGTATTTAAAGGAAAATTTTGAAAGTTCAATGGGGGTGGTCACCCACTCACCCCTGTGCCCCGCTTAAATTCGTTCATGAGTACCAAGCACCTATTGCACATCTTTAAAGACGGTCCTATTATTTGACATTTGACCATAGTTTAGTCCTATACTCGTTGCTATATAAGGCTAATTATTTAACCTAAACACGTGAACATGATGATCGAGTGCATGCAGGTATGGTGCTGTTGCGCGGTCTACAGCTCAAACACAGTCAGCACCAAAACTTGATCATATCTGGCCAGAAGCATATATGGAATGGCGTCTATAAAACGTTCCAATTGCCACTTCCCATCGGTCTGTAATTCCTGTACTAGAAGCTTTTTCGCCGACAAAGGCAAACCCCTTCTCTTGCTTTCTTCTAGTCTTTTCTAACCATCTTTCACTCGGAATAGAGCCTTTTGAATCCCATTTTGCATAGCCTAATAGGAATTGCCTTGTTTTTTAATCCCATTTTTCACTGGGCACACTTTTGGTCCCTTATTTTACTACTCATATACTCTTTAACACCCCAACATGGTTTCCTTTTAAGTGAATTATTGGTAAAAATTGTTGTTAACATTGTTCCCTTGCGTGTAGAGTTATGATGGATTTGTTCACTAGTTATACTCTGGAAATTAAACTGCAACTAATGATGAATGCATTGATAAGTCCACGTACTTTATGCAAACCTTTCATGGTCGTAGGCTTGTTGTGGCGGTTGTCACTCGCAAAGACGATGGGGACAACTATGATTGCGACACGAGTACGCCTTGAAAAAAGTTTCAAAAAGTTTCTAGTTATGACAACATATTCCCCCTCCACTTCAAAAACAAAACAGAGTTGGAGCTTAAACTAAGCAGGTTTGTGCGTCAAGATCTACCCATGACTCACAATGCAGGTTTGTTACTTAATCATATATTCCCTTCCATTGGTTAAAACTTTTAAAAAGTGCATTCTTCCCTATTTCACTACAAGAAATCAGATGTATTACCCACACATAGAATAACTACACATATTATGTGTGGGTATTTAACCACACATTATTTCACTATGTGTGGGCAATTAGTGAACGTATAAAAAACTAATTAGACACATATATTATGTGTGGGTAAAAATTTTTCTCACATTTAAA